TCTCTCTCTCTCTCTCTCTCTCTCTCTCTCTCTCTCTCTCTCTCTCTCTCTCTCTCTCTCTCTCTCTCTCTCTCTCTCTCATTCTTCCCCCCCTTCCCCCGCCCCGCCGCGCGTACCGGTAGTTTAATACGTGCGGGTGTTATTATGACACGCATTATGATGTTTAGGATCGGTAATGATAGTCTTCGATCGAAGGGACCGAGGGTTCAATTTATTATAACAAAGCCTACACGCCGACCTCGATGGTTGGGAAGGTGCCTTAACCAACCATGAACAACGCGCATGCCTTAGCACGACGCTCGTTAAGAATAAGGAGCATAAAAATATTAAAAAACCTCGACCACGAATAGTCGAGGGGGCGATTGGGTTAATGTTGTGACGGGCAAACCTACGACACGTACGAAAACTTAAGTATCAATACATGTCCAAGCACCATTCCCCCCCCAAATGGAAAAATTTGGGGGACCGGTAACACAAGTTAATAAGGGCTATCGGTACCATAGTGAGGAAAACCGGTAGAGTGGCCCGCAAGTGGCAGAGTGGTAAAAATAGAAAATGCACCGAATCGGTGCAACCAGTAGTTTGGCAGTTCTTTTTTTTTCCTTCATTATTTTTATTTTTTGTTTTACATTATTTTGAATATTTTATTTTATGATTTTTTATTTGTTATCCCGTAGTTATTTTAAATATTTTTACTTTTATGAACCTGTCGCGAAATCCACAACTAATTCATCAAAAAAGGGGAAACAAAATTAACCTTACCATTACAATTGAGGTCTTGGCCACTTGTACGGATCTTGATTTCGGAATCACGAGGATCACTCGAGGGAGTCGAGATCGACCACCGCAGAAGAAATGACTATGGAGAAGACTATCGCAAACAACTATGGAATGACCATTGCTTGGGAGATGACAACGGGGAAGACGAGGCGTGGAGGAGAGGACAAGTAGGGAGCAAGTAGGAAGTTTGGCATATTGAGAGGAATGAGCAATTGCCTATAGACGAGCACAAGGTGGAACATAAGCAACAGGAGATTCGTAAAAACCTCACAATCGGAGAAAACCTAACAATTCATTATAGGATGTCTTGCAACATAATTTTGTCTTTCTTTGCCGTTAGAACGAGCGGTTTATTCAGCTACTTTACAACAAGAGATACCGAAAACAACGAGAATCCGTAGCTTTCGTGGGGAAAATGTTAACCTTGAGCAAGAAATTAGTCCGCAGACGTTCATTTTAGCGGGGCAAGTTCGGAGGGGAAAAGTTTAAGGGAAAACACAGTGCCCAACGCCCGACGAAATTTCCAGTGATGCAAAACTACACCGAGTTCCAAGAAACCGCATACTTTTCCCTGTTTTATTTATAGTCCTATAAATGAAAGTCATTAAAGAGAAAATTTGGAAAATACATGCTTCCAAAAAAGACTGCCACAGGCTCACCAAATGCAGAAGGAAAAAACCTGTTGGGAGGAACATCTCCGAACACTGCCAACAAGAGTCAGCGAACTCGACACATCAATCTTCAAGTTTATAGTCCTATAACCGGTAGCTTGACATACCCCGGCAAAATGGGGTTGCTGGTAGCGTTTTTTCGAGACATTCGAGAGCGTACAGAAATAACATTGCCCCAACCACTCTGAAAATGCGAGACTCCACAAGACTTACGAGAAACCAAATCTCCAATTCCAATTATAGTCCTATAAGTTCAACAGCGGAACTGCCCTGAAAAACCCGTACCCTGAACTGCTTACAATACACAGACCGAATATGACTTGCCAGAAACGAAATCGCAAATTCCAATTATAGTCCTATAAGTTCAACAACGGGACTACCATGCAAGAACCGTATCCTGAACTGCTTACAATGCAGAGACCGAAATTTGGTTGACTTTGAACGTCTAGAAAGATCTTTCACATTTGAGATTCCGCAAGATAAAAGGAAAAACGAATTCCGTAATTCTATTATAGTCCTATAAATCGAAACTCGGACTACTTCGAAAAAACTCGTACTCTAAACTACTTAACATACAAGACCGGACAAGACGAAGCAGAAACAACTTTTCCGAATAGAAAGACATAGGAGAAAACAAATTCTCAATTTCAATTATAGTCCTATACGTTCAGAATTATAAATTGCTTACAATACAAGAGCCAACAAGACGAAGGACAAACAACTTTCCCTGTACAGTGCTGTGGCCTATGCCCTTTGGAGAGGACCATCTCAACAGGAGGACATGTCGAAGGCCTTCAAGCTACACCTTTACAAGGGTACCAGCCTCTTCTTCGCCGTCTCTAACGTCGACGAAAATCGAAGCGTTCAACATTTCGCAGATCTTTTTCTTTGTGGCAGCGAACAGAGTGTTGTCTGCCTTCAGAGTAAAGTTGTAACACAGAACGCCACAACTCCAATCAAAAATGTCTTCGGCGACTTCACGTCCAGACTTTCCTCTCGCAGTCTGCTTGTAGAACGGTAAGTACGCTTCTCCTTTTTCCTTTTGAGCATACCAAGCAACCTTGGAACGCTCTTTTGGAAGTAACTCCACAACCTTGCCTACGTGGTAGGGTTTGTCTCGTTCCTCCTCACCAGGGAAGGCTCGGAGTGCAATGAACTTCCCGATCTCCAAGTCCTCGTAGCGTCCCTCTCTTTCCATTTTGTACTGTTTGGTCTTCCGCGCACCAATGTACACTGGCCTTTCTTGTGGAAAGAGGTGAGCCAAATTCCAAGAAATCTCATCTTCATCCAGAGGCTTCGCGCTGTCCTCGCAAGGCCCTTCCGACGACATTGTCGGCCAGAAGAAAGGAACATTCAGGCTCCTGTCATTGAAATCCATATTTTTCTGACATTCGATGAAATGTTTCCACCAAGTGACGTTATCGGGTTGAATGTATCTGGAGAACGCATCGAGATTAGCGTTTAATGCATTAATTAACAGAGTGCGTTGTACACATTCTTCACCGTCCCCTTCCAGCTCCGTACCATCCCCTTCTTCTTTGCCACAAGCTGACCTCAACCGACCTTCCAAAGACCGTATCGAATGTCGAGGAGCAGCCAAAATCTCGCTTGTTGGCTCTGAATGAAAGAGATTCAAACCTTCAGTGTCATTTGGCTGCCAAAACGAATTATGGTACTGCTTGCTTCAGAGCCGTACTTCTCCTCTGTAATTTCTTTAGATCCTGAAATGCTGGTTGAAACTGATGTCGTTCACCTTCAACAAATGTGGTTCTACAAATTCCTTCCAGTCGTAAGTCTCGGTCATCCGCTCAAGAACTACTGCCTTTCCAACTTCGTCTGTTTACGATTCGCGAATCACGTGTTCAAGTTCAGGAAGATCAAAAGCACTCTGCAAATTGAGCATGCGAGAGAAACAACTAAACATCTGATCGATATCCTCATGAGTACGTCCGACGAGAAGAAAGCTCAACTTCACCTTTGTGAAAATGTTCATTTTCACAAGGTAGAACAAATACAAAAGTACGTATTTGTTTTTGTTTTCTTTCGTTGTGTTGTCCAGATTGAGATAGAGAACTCGTGGGAAAGGTGTCGAAAGTTTGCAAATTCTTTGATGAAGCGCAGTAAGCATGCAGTTCGAATCTGACTTGAAGTTGTCAAAAAAGAGTGTTGCAGATGCTTTTGTGGCGAGACCTAGCACCTTTGCACCGACAACGTGCACCTTGAAGAAACTTTATTCTTTGACTCTGGAATCCTTCGGCAATCTGCGGAAGTGCGGTAAAAGAGTCTTTCTCTGGTCCATTCCGTCAATAATTAAACATACGTACTCCCCGGATTCGTTAGAAGCCTTGTGACGGTGTTTGTAGAGCTTGGACCTTTCCGCTTCCTGCATCATCCGGTGCTTCGTCAACGCTCTCTCGTATGTCTCTGTTCACAAGTAGCGCAAAGAGCAAGGTCAGCAAACACGTGCAAGACTCAAGGATACCAGAATTACTGCTTCCAATCAACAACACCGCGCGTGTTGGCCGAGGAGAAATTTATAGGGCTATAAATCAGCAAGAGCCTCATTCAAATCCCACTTTTAAATCAAGCGTGTTGCAACGACACAAATCCAACAAACCGCCAATTTTGTGGCAAATGTTGAAGAACAAATGTGTAGAACTCACAAGCAAAAGTTGAAAGTCCAATAAATGAATTGTTAGAACTAAAAAACATTTCGACTCAACCGTTCAGATGATTTTGCCTTCCCCGAGACGAATCAAAGAACTACAAAAGTATTACGCTTCAGCCGTCCAGACGTTTTTGCCGTTAACTTAATTTTGTCACAACGTTCCAATTACACGAATTTGTTGGAGTCGTTCGAGTGCGAACTTTGTAAAACGTGTTTTTCGAATTGTAACGGTACTCGGACCCGACCGTGCAATCATGTTGCAACGACTCAATTCCAGCAAGAATCAACTCAGAGGATTTGTAGAACTGCAAAAAGAAATCCAACTCAGCCGTTCCGACTCTTTTCCGACTTCAGCAATGAACATATGTCAGGACGACGCTCCGAGTTTGTAAATAGGTGAACAGAAGCCTCTTTAGAATAACAGCAGCACATTCACCGAGAAGATCGGAAGAACGCAGACAAAGAACATTTTCAACTATTAATAGGTTTAAAATACTTTACATACCACTCTCGTACTATCTTGTACCAGAATAAAAGTTGAAACTCCGTGAAACGATTTTATAGAACTATAAAAGTATTTCGACTCAGCCGACCAGAGTTTAGAGAATTATAACAGTACTCGGACCCGGCCGTGCAAATGTCTCAGTACTTTACACACCACCCTCGTACCATCTTGTACCAGAATAAAAGCTGAAACTCCGTGAAATGAGTTTATAGAACTATAAAGGCATTTCGACTAGGCCGTCCAGAGTTTGCGTACCATCTTGTACCAGAATAAAAGCTTAAACTCCAAGAAACGAGTTTATAAAACTATACAAGCATTTCGACTCAGTCGTCAAGAGTTTAGAGAATTCTGACAGTACTCGGACCCGGCCGTGCAAATGTCTTAGTACTTTACACACCACTCTCGTACCATCTTGTACCACAAAAAAAGTTGAAACTCCATGAAACGAGTTTATAGATCTATAAAAGCATTTCGACTCAGCCCTCCAGAGTTTAGAGAATTCTAACAGTACTCGGACCTGACCGTGCAAATGTTTTTTCTTTAAGTAAGCCTGGATTCCAGCGATGACTAACTGTCAACACGACGCACCGACATCGTAAACAGGTGAACAAAAGCCTCTTTAGAATAACTACATCACGGTTGCAGAGAAGATCTGAAGAACACAGATAGAAAATTTTCGGTCAGTGACAGGTTTATAGCACTATACACACCACTCTCGTACCAGCTTATGCCAAATTTGTAGTGGCTTACCTCTCTCGATGTGGTTATCTGCATTCGCACGGCCTGCCTTGAACGACAGACATTGAGCGCAGACTGAAAATCTATTCAACGAGGGAATCACAACTTTTTGACAGTGTTTTGTCCAAATGTTCAGGAAATGTTTATCAGAAGGAATTTTCTTCGGAGAAAATTGGGAACCGCATTCTCTTAAGAAGAGCTCGTAAACGTCCTTGCGCAACAGAGTGTCTGAGAGATGAAATTGATTGTTGTTCTGCATGCTTTTCGTATTTAAGCGGAAATAATTATGCAACCAAGCCAACACTTTCCCTGTACTCGCCGAGTGTTTGGAAAAACCTTTGTTCTTGTGCTCGTAAGTTCGGACGCCATCCAAGAACGTGCGTCGAACAGCAGTCGTGCGCCACGTCGAACAACCGTACAACATACCCCAGGCTCGTGTACAAACTCTCATATTCTTGAACGTAACTCTTAATTTCAAAAGTTCGCCAGTGTCTGAGAAGTATGAAGCTTCCCTCGTCTGTTCAAGGAGGAAGTTCACTTGTTCTGGCTGCTTCAAGGACCAAAACATTTCGCGCACCTTGAATATGTCGTGGATGGAGAACTTCTTCACGCATTGGCTGTTGCAACACTTTTGCTTGACTATCTCTTCGATGTTTCCAAAACTCATGTTCAGCTTTGCCTTCTTGTTGTACACGCGTGTGCTCTTCTTTCTTTTGCCTAAGTTGTAAGGAGCTTTCTCCTCGACCGGTGTTGCGCTGTAGATACCTCTTCTAACTTTCTGAGATAACATCTCCTGCGCTTTCCCGAGCCCGTCTGTGGACGAACTCTTGCCAAATGTGTCGCTAGCGCCTTCTGCTAGCCATTCCTAAGACCGCTTGTGACGTTGATGCCTGTCAGGCGCAAAAAATGTTACACGACGGATGCCAAGGACGCTGCTACTTCCCTTACGGCGCTTTCGCCTACGTTCAGAAACAAGAAGATCTGGCGGCAAATAGAGCTCGGGTTCGACATCGCTGAGAACAAAAGGCACTGCTTCACTTGGTCCTTGCACTCCTTGACTACAGCCCGCGTCAAGGCCGCTTGCAGGATCCAGTGAGCTGCTGCAAGGAACGTCCATCTCGCGAAAGCGGAAGGTCGCAAAGATGATTACGTGAACAAAAGCGATGGAAGCGGTCTCGTCTCTCTAAGCACGTGCGCAGCAATCCCCTCGGCTTCCTGTTGCAGCAGTAGGAAAGTCGCGGCGTAAACGTCGCAAAAGCAAACGACAAAGCTCTGCGAAAAACAAATGAGAGCACCTCTGAAACCACTGTTGAGTCGGAAGTCGAGGCGACCTCCGGGTTACGGAAAGTACCGGGAAGTCCAAAATATTTCCAAATTTTGTCGTCTTTCTCAAATTTTGTAACTGCAACGTCTTCCCGTCATCCCGCCCGTGCCAGATTTTCGCTTGCAAGCAGTCCCTTTCCGCAAATACTGTGGCTTACCCGGGAAAGACAAAATTTTTATTTATTTTGGTTTTCCCGCTGCAAAACTCAACGGCCTGAGTCGGTGTCTCCTCTCAGGTTTGCTTCCACCTTTCCTCTGAGGCAAGACTGTAACGAAATCGGGGGGAAAACAACATTTTCACTTATTTTGATTTTCCCGCAACAAAACTCAACGGCTTGGGGCGGAGCTTTTCTCGCTAAACAGGAACGTTATTTGAATTTTACGAATACTTTGAACTTCCCACTAGAGAACTCTTCAGCTTCCTTGGCTCCGTCGCGCACTTTCACTACAAGAAGGAGCTGTTCACGAAAGAATCAGGGGGGAAGAAAAAATTTTCACTTATTTTCGTTTCCCCTCTACACGATCGTGGGTTAAGGAAACTGAAGAGTTTTGTGGCAGGACGACCGAAATGTTCGCAAAATTCAAAGCTCGTACTGGTTTTGCAGAAAAACGTCCGCCCTCTTTCGCGCCAAGAAGCCCAGTGTAGGCGGGGGCGCGAACAACGGGCAAGTTCTGTTGTCCAGCCTTTCTTCGGCTTGTGCTCCACAGACCTGACCGTTAGGACCCACCGCTAAAGGGGGCCAAAAATGAAAAAGGGGTTTAGATTCTCACTTGTGGGTGGTCAAATTAATTTCGGGGTGCGAAGAAGAATCTACGGGTTAGGACCCACCGCTAAAGAGGTCCAAATATTACAACGAGGGTTGGATTCTCACTTCAAGGGGGTTAAATTAATTTCGAAGTGCCAAGAATGCCCTCGCGGTCACGACCCACCGCTAAAGGTGTCCAAAAATTGCAAAAGGGGTCGGATTCTCACTTAAGGGGGATGTAATTAATTTTGGGGTGCGAAGAATGACGGTGGGGTCCAAAAATTATAAAGGGGGATGGAAAGGGGGGTCAAATTAATTTCGGGGCGCCAAGAATACCCAGGCGGTTAGCACCCGATGCTAAAGCGGTCCAAAAATTAAAAACGCGGGGGGGGGTTCTCACTTAAGGGGGCTCAAATTAATTTCGGGGTGCCAAGAACGCCCTGGTGGTTAAGACCCACCGTTTTAGGGGTCCAAAAATTATAAAGGGGGCCGGATTCTCATTTAAGGGGGGTCAAATTAATTTCGGGGTGCCAAGAATGCCCTGGCGGTTAACACCCACCGCTAAAGGGGTCCAAAAATTAAAAACGGGGTCGGATTTAAACTTAAGGGGGGTCAAATTAATTTCGGGGTACCAACAACGCCCTCGTGGTTAGGACCCACCGTTCTAGGGGTCC